TGGCCTCCTCCAGGATGTGAACTCAAGGTGTGTTCAGGGGAGTGTAGAAGTCATATCTCCCCCCCTTGCTTGCCCTAGCAGTTTTCTTGAACTGGCTGTCGTTGGTGACCCTCATCTTGTCCTTGTGGCCACTGTCAGTCTTTGCTTGTGATTTTCCGCGAACTTGGTCGCGGAAGGCAGAATGCTCTTCCATTTGGATGTACCCCGCCGCGCGGGCACGGAGCTCGTCCATATCGCGAGGAGCTTCACGAGATAGACTGTCGACGGACGGTCCGGGCTTGAGTGCCATGAGCATGGCGTGCAGGGCGACCTCGGGATTCAGATTTCTGATCTTTATCGAGGTGGCGACGAATCGTTCCATGAACGCCCGGAGTGGCTCGTCGTCGTTCTGTCTAAGGCTGGCTAGGGCGGCAGACGTGATGTGATGGGGTCAGCTCGTTGCATATTGCGCTGTGAATCGCTTGACCAGAGTGGTGAAACTGTCGATCGACTCAACGGGGAGCTGGGTGTACCAATTGAGTGCAGCCCCCTTGAGCGAGGTCAGAAAAACCCTACACAGAATAGCATCGTTATTGGTGTAGAGGTTTACCTGCGTTGTATATAGGTCGATGTGCTCATCCGGGTCCGTCGTGCCGTCGTAACGGTTGAGGTGGAGAGCTTTCCATCCGTGAGGGAGCGGCGTCTCCATGATGCCATCCATGAAAGGGTGACGGCGAAAGGTAGCTTGATCCCCCGTGACATGAGTAGGGGCCTTGTTGAGTTCATGGGCCGACTTGTTCGTCGGTGCATGAGATCGATGCGTGGCAGGTCGTGGAGCCGGTGCCCTAGTCGCAGTTCGGGGCTGAGAGACCGAATGCCCTTCTTCCTCATGGAGGTTGCTCGCCTCAGGAGGATGATCAGAGGGGCGTCGAGGGAGCTGGGCGCGAATCTGCTCGTTTTCAGCGCGTAGTGCCGCTAGATCAGCTTCATTGGCGGTCCGCATTGCGGCTAGGTCGGTTTCGTGCTTGGCACGCATGTTTTGCAGATCGGCGTCGTGTTGTTGCCGCATCTGTTCGACCTGTTCGATCAGCCTTCTCAATGCCGCTTCGTTGTCCATGCTTGTCGTGCGATCTGCATCGTCTGTTGCGCGTCTACTATGGCTTCGGGTGAATAC